TGCTGACGCTCGACGCTCATTTTCAGTGTCAAAATAGGTCATGTGATCAAAATTGGCGCTTGATATTCGTCAATTTCTATCACGTGACTTATGTTGACGCCGAAAATGAGCTTCGAGCATCAGCAAAATGAAAAGGTACCTCAAGACCGGACTATGGATTCCGGATTTGGGCCGGATATATGTAAAATATGTAAAATAGACGTAATATGACATATATGTGTCGAAAGTTAAAAAATGCAATTTGTCAATATAGTGATCAAAATTTTTTCGGATAAAAATAGGATATATATATATCCTAGGGACGTTTTATATTAGGACAATGATAATTACAAATGTTCTGAGCTAATATGATTTAATGTTTTGGATCAGAATGGGAGCAATCTGATCAAATTATTATATAAAAAAAAATTTTTATCAATTAATGAAACAGATCGTAGATTAATTTAAATCATCTCATTAATTTTCAAGATATATTTTTGTATCTTATATATGGTATACAAGATTTATCAAAAATTTTTTATTCTTTAATTTATAATTTTTGATAAATCTTGTATACCATATATAAGATACAAAAATATATCTTGAAAATTAATGAGATGATTTAAATTAATCTACGATCTGTTTCATTAATTGATAAAAATTTTTTTTTATAAGCATATACTTTTATAAGCATATAAAAATAGTATTCTATCTGCAGTTTATAATCTATCTACTAAATGTATTTTTATAAATATACTTTATTTTTTACATACTTAAATATATACAAATATTAAACACAAAAATAGTATTTCTATTTTTGCAAATAGTCATAATTTTTCTACATGATGTACTGATTTATGTGTTCACACGTGAAATATAACCTAAACAATATTCCTGAGTTATAATTTGTTATATATAGATACAAAATTAACAATTGTTTATTAAAATAGGATCTCAATGCATCAAAATTTCTTCAACACAGTCACAATATTGTTATATAAGATTATCCTTGCATCACGGCCCCAGAGATAATCAGTATGATTGAATTTTTCGTATGCTATTTTTTCAGTTTGTATAACATTTGGTAAATTATCTGCCAGTTTTTGAACATTCTGAAACAATTATGAAAATGTTATGAAGATGAGACATATTTAATATAAATGTAGTGTATACATATACACATAATACATATACAGCAATACAGCATAAATAGACATCTTGAAATAGTAGAACTTACAGTATGATGATTAATAAAGTCATTTTCACTGTAAAAGATTGCCACAGGTACTTTTACTCTTTCAAGAGTATATTTAGGTGGTCGTGTAGATCCATAGAGAGTCAAGTTTGCTCTAGTGCCATAATCAAATTTCTGAAAAGAGCCTGGAAAATGACAATTATAGTGTATATGTATATAAAACGTCTCAGCATAAATAACTGTTTTATTTATTTATTTTCAAAATTGAAAGAGATAGACAAATATATATATATATATATTATATAGAGGAAGGTCACCGATATCGACATACCACTTTGTGTTTTTAGACAATATTTCTTAAACAAAAGGTAAAAATATAACTTCAAAAACATAAATACAAACCAAAAAGTGTCCACTATCAGATAGAGTATAAGCAGTTTTTATATAATAATACTATTTGCAATTTTGCTATAATTAAGTTTTTCGTACTCTCTAAATCTGAATCAGTGGATAGTCACTAATTACCCAGTGGCATACTTAATTGGCACTGATAATCAGTAAAGTTTAATTAAAAAAGGAAGACTGTTCGAGCATTATATAACTAAAATACTGACATTTGCATGTTAAATGTTATGTTTGCATTTCAATCTTCTAATTCCATATTTATTGAATTTATGCACTAAATTCTAAAACAAGGTTGGTTAGATCACATAATAAAGATCAGCTAGGTTAGGGATCCCACATTTCAGTCACTGATTACCAGTGGCATACTTGACATTGATATCAGTGAATATCCACTGATTCAGATTTAGAGAGTAAGTTATGCAAAAATCGTCTGACACACACACACACACAAAATGGGCTCCAAACAGACATAGTAGGTAATAATGCCAACATTCCTATTCTATAAATAAAGATATATCCTATTCTGTAAAGAAAACTAATTTATGAAACTATAAACATTTAAAATGTAATATTATCAATAATACAGTCACTATTATTTTAATTACGCAATTTGCAAAAGAACATCGTAAGAATTTTCTTCTCGGATTCATAGAATTTGTTTTTAGCTGATTTGGTATAGAAATAAGCCACAAGTATATATATATATATATATATATGAATTTTGTACTTTTTTAATTAGCTAAACAGATCACATTTTTATTAGTAGAGGAAAGTTATTATGAGATAGGCACCTAATATGAGATATAGTGGCGTTTCCACTAAATTAATAAATGCTATCTATTGGTTCCACTACAAATTTATTGCTCTTGGATTGAAAACTATTTAGTGGAAAATTCATTATTAGATCATGCCTATAGTCGTAAAAAAAGATTTTAAAATTTGAACGTCTTCAAGTTTCATTGAGATGAGCCTTTAAACCTTGTTTATTATTTAATAAATAAACATTTAGCAATAAATTCTTCATGTAATGATAGAGTAAGATCGTACTAATAGAAAAATACGGGATATATTGAATTGCTTAATTATAGAAGTTAAATTTGATGATTATTAAACCGTAAGGATGCCGTCACATACAGCCCGTAATCCGTAATCCACACCGGATATCTGCAAACGTTACTAGATATTGCGTCCGTAACGTTACGTGTGTTTTACCTCCTTGTGTCCCATGGAGCCGTAATCTCATGAAATTTCCCTAAAAATTACTAGTTATTACTAGTAATACTTTTCCTAATTTTATCTATTGACTAAATTTGACGATTTAATTAAAACTTTTGTTATAATCAAAATATATTCTGTAATTTTCTTATAAAATAAAATAAAAATGAACCGTATAACTTCTTAAATAAAAAATGTTACATTTACACGTCCGCATTTTGCGGCTCCATGGGACACAAGGAGCATATAAGCACGCAACGCAATTGCACTCCGACGTCAAACAAAAATAAACGTGCCGTAATCTACCTTTAATTTATAAATAGTAATTAATTTGTTTGACAACAATTTTGAAATTAGAAGTGCATAATGAATCTTTGATATATGTTATTAGTGCAAATACAACAAATGGTCTGCTTTCTGACGTGCACTAGACTGCACTAGAACTCTCTTTTCACGTAGTTGCAGATTACGTGAGAAATATCTGCCGTACATACGCAATCCCTAGATACTTTTGCGAACATCCGGTGCGGATTACGGATTACAACCGGAATGAACATTGAGTGCTTGTTTCTGCGATGTTTGGTTTCAACTACCTGAAGACAAATCCTAAGTATATAATGCATGCTCATTTTGCACGCACATTGGCTGTGTTTGTTTGTATTTACAGAAACATTGAATAAAGTTTTTTAATTGCAATACTGAATGAGTGCTTGTTTCTGCGATGTTTGGTTTCAACTACCTGAAGACAAATCCTAAGTATATAATGCATGCTCATTTTGCACGCACATTGGCTGTGTTTGTTTGTATTTACAGAAACATTGAATAAAGTTTTTTAATTGCAATACTGATATACGTTTCGTTTTATTATCGATTTTTCGGGGTACCTCATATTAAGAGCACAATTTTTTAACTTTAAGATTTGCTCACTTTTTATATTTCTTTAATTAAAAAAAAAAAAAATAGAATTTGAATTAAATTTTACATAGTATTATCTTAAAGCTTATTAAATTCCCTTCAAAATGACCTATTATTTTTTAAAATTCTGCCCATAGATTTCTACCCCAAATGAATTTGGTATCTCATAATAAGGGCCTTTCCTTTATTAATAAGGTGCAAAGATTAGTTTTTAAGAAATAAGGGGATGTCGCTTTAGGAGACCTATGTCAGTATCGGTGACCTTCCTCTATATATAATATAAAGAACTACATTTAGCAAGAAATATTCGAAGTCATATGATATATCTTCCAATTTTTTATATTTAATCATTTTTAATTACACTTTTTTTTTAAAGATACTAAGAATTTTTTTTTAGAACTCTTGGGTAAAGTTGGAACTCGCTTTCAATTATAAATTTTGAGAATAATGTGATACTAATATAGGAATCTGCACTAATCATATGAAAAATTGGATCTCAGTGAAATATGAGTTAGTTTTCACATATAATAAGTATGTTATAGCTTTATAATGTGGTGAAAAAAAGATGTTATAGACAGAAGGGCTCAATAATGGATAATTTTTGAGCTATCAAAATACAAAAGTATATCAGAATATAAAACTTGTGCTCATAGAACATCTTTGATACGCCTGCAACAGGCTCAAAAACTATCCATTATTGAGTCTTATGCCTATGACATTTTTTCCGGGACCTAATTCGATCATTATTTCCCATATAACGCGTGGATGCGGAGTCCTTTATATAGAGATTGTTAATTATTATTTACCGGAGCTTATTAACTGGCCAAAGTGAAGGAATTGTTTGACCGAAGAACCTGCTGGGCAATGTCCAAATATTAAAGGTAACATAGATTTATCGAGTTGTTCGCTACCGAATCCAGCAATAAGATAAAACCAGCAATTACATAAACCCTCTGTCATCGGGTGAGGAGCGTTGCTTAAAAAGGTCCTCAATATAAAACTTTGCCATTTATTACGAGGTAACCATTGATTTATGTTGCAAATGTAAGATCCCCACTGAAACACATTTGTGGCGAATAATATGGCATAATTTCGTGAAAAAAATCAGAAAATATAACAACAAAACATTGCATTACCTCTAATATACTGTGAAAATATGCGAAAAGCTTCAAAAATAAACTTTTTTGATTCCCTAAAAATACTGCAGGTGCCAAACTTATCATTCCTTTGATCTTAGCATTATATTCAGGTCTTTCGCTCCCCATAACATAGAACGTGGTTGCACCCTGACTGTAACCAATATAATACAATTTGGAATGACCAGTTTTTTCTAAGATATAATCTATTGTTGCTGGTAAATCATAATATCCAATCTCATGCCAACTGTAACAGAAATATTTATCGTTTTTAGGTATAATGCTATTATTTTTTTTATATTTTTATCACTTTATCAGTTTATTATATTTTAAATTGCTCGATTACCTAAAGTTCCAAAAGTCTCTATCTTTGATTGAGTAATATTTATGAGATTTGGAGTAGGTGTTTCCACGAGCGTTTGTGAGCCAAACGTCGTATCCATTGTCACAAAGAACATATGCTGCAATATAAAAAGTTATATGATGTATTAATAAAGTCTAAAATATTTATAATATTCTGATGATGAATAATTACTATTCGCTATTAGAGTATCAGACGACTAAAATAAATAACAAAAATGCAAAAATACAGCTATTTATTGATACTAACCGAGGGCTTTGTGTGGTCCTAGGAGTACCCAATCCGCAGAACTAGATACAAGTCCATGGTTTATTATAACTGGCAATCTGGAGGAACTGATATAACATCCGGAAATTTCTGAAAGTTGATAATTCTCAGCAGAAATTGACAAATTATGATCTTCACTATTCATAACAGCTGCATCGGTGTTTATGATGTCAGCGTTTAGTGATACCGATGGTACTCGATCGTTAGGAAGTACACGATGCACGGTCAAATAATAACCATCTTCTGTGCAAATCTGGTGGGTCTCGGCTACGTAACCATGAGCTTCAATCAGTTCAGGCTGCAAAGGAATAAAATGATTCCATTGCATAATTTTTTATATATGGAAAATGAAAGATTTTAATCATTTTTCAATTATTTTACTATAAAAAAAGCATTTGACTTCTATTCTGAACGCAGCCAACTATTAGATTTTTTTTTCCAAAAGTCTTGCTTATTTAAGTGATGTTAGTCTGATCTATTAATTATTAATTAAGGCTAACGTAATAACTTTCGTTGTTCTAATTAATGATACGATTGTATATATATTTCTTTCGTATAATAAACTCTTTCGCTTAAATTCAAATCATTTAAACCCATTTTCGCGCCGTGACGAAATCCTATTTCCGGAAGAGGAAGCGAAATGTTTCATATCAGCTAATGAATACATGCAGTTAGCGGCACACGATGCATTCTTGCTAGATTGTTTCCGTTCTAGTAATCACTAGAATTGCGTCACATAACATAATTTCTAATAATTTACTAAAATGTAAGTAATCAAGCAAGGAAACATACATTATGTGCCGCTGATTTAAGCTCGAGGAATATTGCAACTTAAATCCGAATTCCGCTTTGAAATGTCTAACATTTGCACGTTATAAACCTCGCGAATTAATGTTGATGGAATATTAATTTAAAAAAATTTAATTCTTTTATTATATGTATTGAGACTTAATCTGCTATTTGCTTTTTATGTCTTTTTTTACTTATCGAGTGAAATAATTGGATCTTTGTTTAAGAATTTTTAATATATCAATCGTCTTAGACATACATGTATAAAGAAATTTTCCTACTTTTAAAATCCGTGTCATCGTTCTGCCTTATAACTACAATAGCATAAACTCTTTATAGACATACATCTTAAGATATGTTATAGCACAGAATATGACAAATATATTTCAATTATTAAGTAGATTATATTATTAGTATATATTATTATTGAATATCATACGATTAAAGACAGTATTTTATATTTTTTCATATTTTAACATTAATCTTTACCCTTGATCTCCATGAATGTGTTGAGACGCATTGATACACGCACGTGATAACGCTCATCCCCATACAATTTTATCAATTAATTATACACTTTAGTTTAAAAGCGCATTACAGCATTACATACGTTAAAATTAGAATATTTTAAAATTGCGGAATCCTCACGTAAGAAGATGATTGACTGTATATGATAAGAGTCTGCATATAAATGCAATAATGTAACAATTATATTAGTAAGATGATTGCACAGAATACAATAAACTAGGAGAACCGTATTAAAAAGCAATTTAATTTATACCTTATCAATATTTTGTAATATTACATAATTATACATATCGATTTTTCGTTCAGGGGCGCTTATTGAATTTTGTATATATATATATATATATACATGCAATTTATGTTGATTACTATTCTCCAAGAGCAAAATTCACTGTCGAATCCTCAAAACTTCAGAGCGTCCAAAGGCTAGTTCCTACTAAAATCGATCGTGCGGATTGATACAGATCGGCATAGTTTCTTTTTTTTTGATAGAAGTTAAAAGAAAAGCCGATATCAACTCCAATTGGCTCGATTGGCTTCAGTGGAGATAAGCCTTTACAATGAAAAACTTGACATAAGAGATTCCATTTTCATTTTCTTTTCTATCACTCGTAAATTTGAACATTAATATATTATATATTCGACACATTCTAATCGTTTCTTGGGATAACACATGAATCAATTTTATGTAATGTGTAATCATCGATAATGTCTTACCGTTGTCATGTGGACCTCATCTTGATTTGTTTTGCTCATATTACTGATGTCGGACGTCAGCATCGCGACAGCGTGAAGTTTGCGAGCGATCTATTAACTATTTACGAACTATTTTGCAGGAATACGCCACCTATTTCTCCTTTACGTAGTCTAGGCTTTCTCTTTCTTTTCTTACTCTTTCTCTCTAACACACACTTTTTTTTCTTCAAAGCACGGTTCGCGCGACTCGAGCGACTTACGAGAAAGTGACCCGCGAAATCATAGGTGCGCAGAAGAACCGGGGAATGGTCTCGTCGCCTTGGTCGTGCGCTTGAAAAAAACACGACGTGTTCAGGCGGTGAAAGGCATGCGTTTTCTTTATTTCTTTTCACGAAATCTTTTGAAGTCGATGTTGAACTATTTAAATTATTAATAGTCCAAACGAATCTAGGGAGAATCGCTTTAATTTGTTTGTAAAATGAAGGCGTCGTTTTTGTAAAAGCAGTGAAACAAATTTATACACGCGCGATTTGCGTATCCCAACAGATTTCTTTGTCTTTCTACCAACAATACTACTGCAGGCACGAGAAACGCGCAGTATATATATATATATATATATACAGGTACGGACGGAAGCGTTGAAGAAGAGGGAGGGACTGTTGAATTCAATATTAAGGAAGATTTGCCTTGAAGAGTTGGCTAACAATAAAAGTGAAATATAATCTATATAATAATTTGTATTTTTTTTATTGCTAATCTTAAAATTAGAAAAAATGAGAAGTTATAGTTGAACCGAGATTAAGTTAATCTACATTAGTAAACAAGCATTAGTGTTACTTCAAAATAACCGATTATAATAACAAGAAAGTTACTTATACATGTAATATAATAAAACAAATTTTTATCAATTTTTCGTTTTCTTAATAAGTAATGTTTTTTATAAGATTTTTTACACTAAAATAAGACATGCTATTAAGAAAATTTCATTATCCTTCAATTTTTAGAAACTTCATTTTAAATTTCTTATGTAATAACGCAAATTTGCAATATATGTGTAATAGCTATAAGAAATTTAAATATGTTTTTATAATATATAAAAATAAATGTGATAGTATATATATATATGTATAAAGTCCATTTTATTGTTTGCATAATTTTAAATGATAATACAATTTATTAGCAATATTAAATATCTAATCTTCACAGATTTATAAAGTTTCTATTTCTCCACATCTAAGTGGTGATTCTTATTTATTTTATTATTTAAAGTAAAAAAAAAGTTGTAAATTGTTTTTTATAGTTTTTTCCAAAATAAAATCCTTGATTTTTTAAAATTTAGTGAATGAAACTTTTTTAACTTTATATATATTCTTTTTCAGCAGCTAAAAATACATAAAGAATCACCATTTAGATATTGAGAAATAGAAACCTTGTAACACAGTGTAATTTACCGAGTAATACTGCAGAAAACAATTTAATTGATTAGTGATCAGTGCAATTATAAATTAAGAAGTTATTGTTTTTATGAATATTCCCATACAGCACAGAAACTTGCACCCAGACGGCATAGAATATTTATGATAAATATTTGTTATTCATTTTTTAAAATGTTATATAAATATTTTATACATATTTTATATAAAGCTTTATTCGATATATTATTAAAAAACTACTAAATATTTAACGTAATTTATGATAACGTATTTATGATAAATATAAATAAATATTTCTAGCGCGAGTATTTTTTATTTGAATTATAATGTTTTATTAAATATTTCCATAGCATTTACTACAAGATTTACAATAAATATTTCATAATATTTATAATAAATGTTTTTGGTCTACGCAATCTAAGACCATGAAAATATTTACAAAATATTTAAAATAAGCCTTATAAATATTTATAAATATTTTGTAAATATTTTATAAATATTGTGTGCTGTCTGGGTATGTTTAACATACCTTGCAGAAATGTTGCAATATTGCAGATTGCACTGTAATATCGCTGCAACATCGTTGCATTGTAAGTATTAGTTAGGAATTGTAATATATAATACATATTACTGCGCAAGATTTTACAAATCTTGCAGCGTGTTACAGAGACATTAAAAAACATTTTGGCTTTTAAGTAAGAACTGCTGTCACATGTTGAAACATACATCAATTACACGTTATATGCTAGTTAATTATTTCCATTCATTTATGGCTTCTGCACACTGGACGCGGAAACGCTTGCCGCGCGGCAAAATGCGACGCGGCAACCAATGAACATATTAGGAGCTGTAAGCTTATTGGTTACTGCGTCGCATTTTGCCGCGATAAGTGTTTCCACGTCCAGTGTGTGGGAGCCACTAGAAGCTACTTAGGAATTATAGTGTTCGTTGAAACATTTATTGTCGTCGCCGCGCGACAAAATTTTTCGAACTTTATCAACTCTCATAATTTTTTGGAATATTTGGATTTAAAAAATTCTTTGAATATTGCAAAGAAAATAAAATAGAATGTCTGGAGTTTCTTATTATTTCCATTTCACTATAGTTAAGAATATGTACAAAATAGGTGTACCTGCATAAAGTGTAAAATATATATTTGCGAAAAAATGTAAAATATATGTCTACGTATGTAAAATTTAAAAAATATTATATGTATACGTGCATATAAAATTTGCAATTAAGTATAAAGTATAATAATTATAACATAAAATATATATTGATTAGTTCTTTTTCTGCATTTTTTATTTATATCACAAATTGTATTTTAAATTATATTCAGTAATAATAAAAGAATTATTTTTAATAATAGTTGCAAATACATTGCACTGTAGCATTACTACAACATTACAGCGCAATCTTGCTAAAGACGGATATTTTTATGATGCTATGACATTGCAATAATGTTGCAAATATAGTTTTAAAGGATCGGAAAAAAACCCAATTTTTCCAATTTTTCTGCGGATTTTTTCGGTTTTTTTTCCCAAGGATAGAAAAATTCATTTTGAAAAAATTCACGCGTGCTCGTAAAACCTACTACGTTTGCTTCTCGGTTCTTTCCATAAAGAAAATAATTGCATATAGGGTATACAGCGGGATAAGTTAACAGAAATTTTGAAATTGTATAAAAGATTGAGGTCGCATAATGTATTCAATAAAACATACAAAACATACACTATTGCACCATTAATGTAAGAATTAAATATATAGAATCCAAACATCATATTTATATGATAATAGTAAGTCTAGAAAATAATTTGGATTTAAACTAAATTCGTAACAAAATATTTGAAAAAAAATAAACTACAAAGAGAACTCCCTTCAGGAGTTCATCAGACCGGAGTGTGACAAACAAGAGTTAAAAATCTGTCTACTTAAGCTTTGCCATGTACTAAAGGAGGGTTAGATTAAGTTTTACTATAAAAATAGAAGGATAACTAAAAAATTTTAATAAAAATAATGCTACATAATTTCATAGCTCGCATTAATTTTATAAAGGAATTTGGAAGTTACTTATTAAGTCTTTTACATGGCAAAAGCAGCAATTTTTTCCAAAAAACAAATTTTTCGGAAAAAACCATAATTTTTCTGTTTTTTTAAGCAATTTGAAAAAAGCGGCTTTTTTAAAATTATAGTTGCAAATATATTGCGCAATCTATTTGGAATATTACAGTATTGCAATGAGATCTGCAATCATTTTGCAATCTTTCTGTGTATGGGTTTTTCTAAAATTGTGATTTTTTAGAAACAAAATTAAATAACTGTTTAATCCGTTAACTGTTTTTTTTCTAAATTTGATAACGGTTAGTTAAAGTTATTTCTCAATAATAGTTTTACTCAGAAATAGATATATAACAAAATAACGTTCAACTATTGTGAACTTTGTAATCTTTATACTCGCTCGAGGAAAAAGTCAATTATTTGCTAGAAGAATAAGTGCCGGCAAAAAATGCCACGTAAAAAGGTGGATTTTCTTCATACCTAATTATCAATAATTATATAGTGATGCATTTTTCTTTCTCTTGCAAATTAATTCATCAAATACTGATGTGCGAGATTGTTTACTACTTCACTTGCGTAGTTTATTATTATTCTATTCTAATAATTTAATAACGAGATATAAACGCTTAGAAATTAGCGCGGAAATTGGAGCACAAATTTATTCTTTTTTAATTTTATAATATTTAATTCTACTCTTTAATCATTACAAATGTGCGCAATCATGAAGAATAGAATTAAATATTGTAAAATTACAAAAGAATAAATTTGCGCTCCAACTTCCGCACTGACTCTTAAGCATTTATATCTCGTTACTAAATTATTATATATTTTCGAGGAATCCGAATTGATATTTAATTTATTATTCTATTTTAATTCATTTGCGTTCTCAGCAAACACCAAGTAATAGTTATATAATTGTTATAATTTCCCACACAACAATATGACACATGTGTATTATATTAAGTGTAAAATTACAACTATAACAATATTATATAACTGTTACTTATTGTTAGTATTTGCTGGGTTCTGAAAATGGCTGGGAAGGAACCAAAACATTAACGTACTATATAATATAATTAATTTTATTTACATATTATGTAGTATATTAATTTGCGCATGTGTGAAGTATCACGCTCGGCCCTTACTTATCTTTTCATATCAGTTATTTCAATAATTACAAACTAATGATTATGTATACAACGCGAAATTGCGTCAAGCATATGTACATACAAGAAATAGTACATTGACGGGGAAAAAAAAATACAAAAAAACATGTATGTTCATAAAAAAATGAAAAAAATATTAGCGGATTAATTTTAAAATAAACTCCTACCCAGACAGCACAGAATATTTATGATAAATATTTATTAATATTCATTTTCTGAAATGTTATATAGATATTTTATATATATTTTATATAAAGCTTTATTCGAAATATTA